AAATTTTAATATTTTAAAATAAATTATTAATAAATAAAAATAATATTGTACTATAATATAAATTATTTATTATAAATATTAAATATGGTTTATATATTTAAAAATTATATTTATTCAAATTTTAAATATAGTTTATATATTCAAATATAATATTTTTTTATATACATAATTTATTTAAAATTTTAATTATATATTGTAACGACCCACTTAGTGGAATCGCACTAATATACTAGTGAACTAAAGTAAAATATTAGACTGGATGACAGAATATACATATATAAGAAGAGATAAGAATAATAAATATTTATAAACAAAATATCATACTATGCATATACAGTCATCTAAAATAATTATATTATCCTAGTGCTGGTCAAGCACCAACAGATAATTATCCAAGATGGTAACTCTGACACGAAGACAAACGCCTCGTCTCACAATGGTCACAACAACCATCTCCAACCTAACCCTGATATGCTCCTATACACAATATGATCATTGCAATCCATCCACATGAAAACAAAAGGGTAAGCTAGAGTTCAATACAACCATACAAGTATAGAACAATAATCTATACTACTTATTCATCCAATCATCATCACAACACAATCACAAAGTTCATCATAAAAGCTCAACTATCAACTCATTCATACAACTTAATATGCAACTTGAATGTAACAACACAACATCAACTAGTGCGTCGTCATGCATATACAACTAGGAGATCTCCAACAACTGAGGTTGAGCAGTCTAGGTGGCATAAACCCTACGGAATCCAACGTTTGACCTATCTTAACCAGGTTAGGTATAGGGCAACGTTAGGAACTCCAAAGAGAATCAGGAATAGAAAATAATAGGCGATTGCTCAAGTGTGCCACTTAGACTCGGAGGTTCAATATTACTGTCAGGACAGAAGGATTTGGGTATGGGCCTACCACGGCCTTGGCTTGCATCACCAATCTACATATGGAATTAGCCCACCCACTGCCCTCCGAGTACCACGCACCCTCCAGTAGCTAGTCAAAGACTACATTTCTAACTAGATACCTTACTCAAATTGATCATTCAACCATGACATGGATCAACTACTTCCATATCGCCCACACCGTACTAAGGGATTCAACTTTCACTACAAAAAAATTGCATTTAGCGACCACCAAAATCGGTCACTATTTACCTTAGCGACTGAATTTAAGTAGTCGCAAAAACCCTAGTTGCAAAGCTATATAGCGACCGAAAATTTTGGTCGCAAAATGGCTACAATGATTTTGGTTGCTGATGTGTATGGGGACCAAATTAGCGACCGAATAAATCGGTCGCTAAAGATTTATTTTTTATTTTAGGCCGATCAAGACATCTCTTATCGACCATGCTTATGGTTTTCACCCGAAGCCATAGTAGACGAGCAACAAACGACCTAGATCGAGGAGACTGATCGAGCAGGTCGAACAAATGCAGCAACAACACGCTGTCGACCTAGAGAACATTCGTGCTAGGCACGAATCTGACCTAGCAGCACTGGGCATTGAGAATGAGCGCATTCGCACCTAGCTTCCTCGGCGCCCTTCGGATCAACCCCCTCAACTGAGTAATCAAAACGAGGAAGAGGGGCACTCGGTTTCCCAGCCACCGACTCATAAGTCTACTATACATCAATCACACGCGCTGACGAATAGGTCAGACCACGAAGTCAGCAATGCGCCTGCCCAAGCTCCAGGGCATAGGGCGAGCATCCGCCGCCATCCTTTTGTTGACGACATCATGGAGACGCCCCTGCCTTTTGGATGGAAGCCTTTCAACATCGACCGTTATGATGGCATTGCTGACCTAGACGAGCACATCGATCTGTACGTCACACAAGTAAACCTATACACTAACGAGGATGCTATTTTGTGTAGGGTGTTTTCGACCTCACTCAAAGGAGAAGCACTCGCCTGGTATACTTTCAACATCGACCGTTATGATGGCATTGCTGACCTAGACGAGCACATCGATCTGTATGTCACACAAGTAAACCTATACACTAACGAGGATGCTATTTTGTGTAGGGTGTTTTCGACCTCGCTCAAAGGAGAAGCACTCGCCTGGTATACTCAATTGCCAGCAGGATCAATTGACAACTTCGACACTTTGGTGAGACGATTCACGGCACAGTACGCAACGAGTCAGCCTCACCACATCACATCAGCCACCTTGGCCAGCCTCAGACAGGGCGAAGACAAACCGTTGAGGGCGTTCATGGAGCGCTTCGCTAGCCAATTTTAGCCTTTTTAAACAAAGCAGGTGTAATTGTAATAAAAAGGAGGTGTATATATCATAAGTTAAATACTATGAACATCTATGAGTAAATTAAAATCAAAGGATAATAATTTTTTTAAATTACTAAAAAATATTTCATTTTATAATTGTTTCACAAATTCTTACTAATTTTTGTATAAGTCAATTGCTTTTAAACAATGAAACTAGCACGATTATATCAATTGAATTGAATGATTAAGCCTAACTTTTAAAATAACAATTGAAATAAAATAAGATTCATGAAAATAATTTCAAAATATATTAGGTAAATAATTTTTATATATAATAAAATTAAAGACAAGGATTAAAATAATCAATGGAGTTAATATAATATTCATTTATAAATATTTAAATAAATTATAAGTAGCAAGGTATTATTTAATTGATGTTTAAAATAAAATATTTTATAATATCTAAATGAATTAATTTTTAAGACGAACTATTATATACATATTTAATTAATATAATTTTAAAATATATATGTATAATTATATATATTTTAAAGAAATATTTTTATATTAAAAATTAATTTATCATTAAACAAAATAAAAATATTTAAAAATGTGGTTGTTTTAAATCAGTTTCCCATGGTGAGATCATATTCATATATAATAATAGAATTATGTCTCCTCAAAAAAGTGATATCTACCTCAAAGTAGTACGAGCATAATCGAAGATAGATGATATAACATATTTTAAGTAATTGATCTCATGTGTTATTGGTGTATATATTTATATATATAATTTATTTTATAATTTTTCTTTATTAAACTAATGTAACATTAATTAGATTTTATCATTTTAGATTTGTTTGATAAATTTTTATTAATCGTTATATAAGTCAATTATTTTTAATTTAATGGAACTAACGTGTTTATATCAATTGAACAAGATGTTTAAGTCAATTTTTAAAATAATAATAAAAATAAAATAAGATTTATGAAAAGAAGTTTATTTATCTTAACAAAATTGGAAAGCATAATAAATTATGTATTTTCATATTATCTGATAATGTAATAAAATATTAAACATGGTAAAAGAGAAATAAATTTCTCAAGAGAAAAATAAATAAATTTTTTAGATAAATTATTATTTAAATTAGTTTAATTTTTTTAAAAAAAAACTCAATTAAAAAGATTATTATTTAATTTTCTTTTATAGCATTATGTTTCTCATTTTTTAATACATCATGATATATTAATTATCTATTTTAAATTATATAATTTGTAATATTTTAAAAAACAAATTAATTTTATTGGCAGGGTAATGATTTTTATTTCTTATCATTAATATTTTATCATTATAAAAATAATATTATATATTTTTATATTTGCTTTCATTTAAAGGAAATATATTTCTAAATTTTTTAAAAAATTTACATTTAGCGACCGATTTTAATTTGGTCGCTAAAATTATTATAAACAATAATATTTTTTTTTTTTTTTTAGCGACCGATTTTAATTTGGTCGCTAAAATTATTATAAATAATAATATTTTTATTTTTTTAGCGACCGATTTTAATTTGGTCGCTAAAATTATTATAAATAATAATATTTTTTTTTTTTTTTGCGACCGATTTTAATTTGGTCATTAAAATTATTATAAATAATAATACTTTTATTTTTTTAGCGACCGATTTTAATTTGGTCGCTAAAATTATTATAAATAATAATATTTTTATTTTTTTAGCGACCGATTTTAATTTAGTCGCTAAAGTTATTATAAATAATAATATTTCTTTTATTTTTTAGCGACCAATTTTAATTTGGTTGCTAAAATTATTATAAATATTAATATTTTTTTTATTTTTTTAGCGATCGAAACGGTTTCTTTGCTATTTTAACCAACAATTATTATTTTAGCGACCGATTATATTTCACTAAAAAATTCAGTCGCTAAATAAAATTTGTAACCAAATCAGATTCGGTTGCTAATTATGTCGCTATTAGCGACGAAAAAAATTGGTCACTAATTTCGGTGGCTAAATTGACTTTTTTTGTAGTGTTTTAAAACAACTTTCAACTTAGCACCTTAGTACGATGTATCTCAACACATGTCATATATCTTCACCATATGTCCCCAACTTTACAACTTTACAACAATAGGCATCTTAACAACTTTACAACAATAGTCATCTTTACAACAATAAGCAACATAATAACATCTTGAGTAAATAATTTAAGCAACTATAGTCATCAAAATCTCAACTTCAACAACTTTAGAGCAACTTACAACTTTACATCAATAGACTACTTCAACTTATACAAATTTCATCAATAACAACATATAAACAACTTAGATCAACAACTACTCAACTCATCTTCATTAGGCAACTCCACAACTTAACCAAATAATTCAACGTACTCACGCCCGGGGCAACCATCTTGCGCCCGGCCTAAGCTCAAGCAGAGAGTTCTAAAACTCCTCCACGCCCGGCGTAGAATCCCCACGCCCGACATCATTGAGACAAAGACTCATAGGAGTCTCCACGCCCGGCGCAATCACCCTGCGCCGGACGCACCTTTCACGCGCCTAGCTCTATATCAGTAAAACACCACAATGAGCCACCATCAGAGATTCTCATTTGAAATTGTGCCCGGCGTGACTAACCTCGTGCCTGGCGTGATTTGATAATGGAGGTCCCTGATGAAAGCACGCCCGCGCAAGTTCAAACAGCAACCTCCCAACTTCAAAAGTTTCATCAAAAACCTGAAAATCAGAAGATTACCACCACATGCAATCCAAGAAATGCAACACATAAACTCCATACAACTAAAAAATGAGCTTAGATTCAACATGCAACCCTTCAAGCATCAAAATCACCCAAAAATCTCATTATTTCCCGAAACTCCAAAAATGAGAAATCACCCAATTCAACCACTTCTTCTCGAATTTCATGCATCAATGGAGTTCCTAAACTCATGCAATCAAACAACCTTCATTTTAGTTTTCCTCACCTGAAGATTGGCTCCGAACAACCAAGAATTTGAGAAGAAGAAGAATTTTTCCCAAAGCTCTACCCGCGAAATTCAATCCTCCGAAAACCAGCTTTCTAGCCTGAATTTCAAGAAAAGACAGAAGAAGTTAGTGATCTAGAGAAGAAGAAGAATTAACTAGAGAAATTTGGGAGAGAAAGGAGCTCACGGACCCAGTGTCATTCTCTCTAAAATAATATATATAAAATCTTAAATTTAAAATTTGTGAATAATTTTATTTAATAAAAAATATTAACAATATACTTCCTTATATAAATTTTGTAGTACGGTATCTTGGTGGCAACCAAGAGTGAGTAGAAACCAATGATGGTTTGAGGTTCTGAATTGAAGAGTAAAGCATAGTTTAGATCTGCTTCTTCTTATGGGTTTCATACCTTTCTTTCCATTTTCTACAATCCTAATATGCTGACTCTTGGATACAAATACAACCCATCCAACAAAAAATATGGAGCTTCCAAGTACGGATGGTGGTCACATTCACATTTAGTGGTTGAGAAGCGAGCAAAGAAGGACTCGTCTATTTTTGCCTGGTATCCTCTTGGTGTTGAGCACCCACCGAGCAATATTTATACTATAGCATCTGTACGAAACAAAAGTCCTTTACACATTATTCAATTAAGTAAACTAAATTTTCTTGGTAAGTTGGACAATTTATGTCACATAAATATTTGATGTGCCATTAATTATTGGATTAAAATCACTTTTGTTCCTATAGTTTTGTGATTGTGTGATACTAGTCTCCTAAAATTTTTTATTGTATATTTAGTGGCCCATATTATATGAGGAGAAAAGGCAGGTATTAAAAGATAAAGTTTAAATTATATCAATAAAAAATTTATCAACTTTTCGAATTAACGAGTAGTACCTAAATCTTAAGGTAGTAGATAAGGTGATAAATAAAAACAAATTACAGTAGTTTGTCTCAATTATCTAGAATACGTCTAATTTTTAATTAATTTGATCAAATTTTACTATTTTCTAAAAATATAAGTATTTTTTTATAAGTTATTTATGTCTTAATCTAAATATTTTTTTATTTGTTTCTATAAGGGATTACTTAAGTATCCTTTCACAATGAAATCTCTTTAAACTTCAACAACCAAATATTTTTTTTATAATAAAGTCTCTTCAGACTTCAAGCTATAATACAAAGTTAAACAAGCAAATAAAATCAATTTCATATAGATTAAGAAAATGTATTAAATGCATTTAATCTTCACAATTTCACATAAAATATACATCACATTTTCTAAAATATCTTTAACCACATGATAGATATAAAATTTATTAAATGCATTTAATATTCACAAACGTGAGAGAACAAGCAAATAAAATCAATTTTATATAGATTAAGAAAATTAGATTAAGAAAATTTATTAAATGCATTTAATCTTCACAAACGTGAGAGAACAAGCAAATAAAATCAATTTCATAGATTAAGAAAATTTATTAAATACATTTAATCTTCACAATTTCACATAAAATATACATCACATTTTCTAAAATATTTTTAACCACATTTATGATAGATATAAAATTTATTAAATGCATTTAATCTTCACAAACGTGAGAGAACAAGCAAATAAAATCAATTTCATATAAATTAAGAAAATTAGATTAAGAAAAATTATTAAATGCATTTAATCTTCACAAACATGAGAGAAAAAGCAAATAAAATCAATTTCATATAAATTAAGAAAATTTATTAAATGCATTTAATCTTCACAATTTCACATAAAATATACATCACATTTTATAAAATATCTTTAACTACATTTATGATATATATAAAATTTATTAAATGCATTTAATCTTCACAAACGTGAGAGAACAAACAAATAAAATCAATTTCATATAGATTAAAAAAATTAGATTAAGAAAATTTATTAAATGCATTTAATCTTCACAAACGTGAGAGAACAAGCAAATAAAATCAATGAATTATCTATACTAATAGATAAAAAAAAAAGAATTCTTCTCATAACCATTTTTTTATGGACGATTATACCCTTAATTTTTAAGAAAAATAAATAAATGTTTGGGTGTTGCTACTGTACCCCTGATAAATGAGGGGTACTGGTACTGTCGATGACGTGTCACTTACGTGTAAATCTAAATCATTTATAATTTTTTTAATTATTTAAAGGGAGTTACTATTGTACCCTCAATATAAAGGGGTTTTGATACTGTATTTAACGTAGATATACACGTCATTTAAATAAATTATATATTTTTATTTAACTTTTTTATATTATTTATTTTTAGGGTTTAGGTAAGCTTCATATCCATCATCTGCATCATGACCCGACCCAAATCTGCCTCCGTCCACGCCATCCCCCAACCCCTCCATCACTCCATGGCCGTCGTTAAGGAGAAAGTCAAGCAGGTTGTGCTCTCCGTTAACCTCTTTGCCAACACCCACGATCAAACCCAAACACATTCGAATCCTCGTCGTCAATCACAACCTCTTCAACCCCACCCCTTCCCTTTTCCCCATGATCATGAACTGCTACAAGTTTTGGGGCAACATCAAAAACTTCAACCTTGGCGGCATGGGTTACAATACCAGCGTCATCGTTCTCGATCTTGCCAGGAGTATATGTTTAAGTTAGTGTTCTCAAAAATAAAATAAAAAATATGATTTTTTAATAAAATAAATCAAAAATCAAATTAAAATATACAAACACAAAATAATGATGTGGCTGAAAAATAATGATGTGGCAAACAGTTTCAAAACCCTCCCAAAATAGGAGGGTACGGTAGAAATTCTCTAAATGTTTTTAAAAACTATCAATAACCAACTTTAAAAATCACTCATATTATTATATTTTTTTTGTTTATTTTACTTTTAAAATTATTTAGAGACCCAAAGTGCCTCTTCCTCCTAGTACAATATAAAAATTAATCTAATTTATATGATAACTATAATGATTAAAAAAGTAAAAAAAGTTAGTTAAATTAGAGGAATTAAAGTTGACATTAAGCTTACAATAAATAATGGAATAAAAAATGACGAAGAGATAGGAAAAGAGTAAAATAAAAGTGGTCGAGAAGAGAAGTTAATGTATAAATTAAATAACTCTTTTCATATTTAGAGAACTTTCCCAATTACCCCAACTAATTTCCCGGATCTTGAATCACATGATACCCTTTAAAAAACATCTTGTAATTGATACTACCTACTTGTAATTGTATAGTGTTCCTGTATCTGGTACCTTCGGTCCTTTCAACCCTAGCTATGTCCCTATTTACTACACCATGTGAACCTCTTAGCCAACCACGCGTGCTCTTCTACTTACAAATTAAGTGCGATCAAGATCTCTCCAATTTCAGAACCTGCTACCACATTTATATATTAAGGAGTTCATCTTTCATTAAAAAAAATTCAACAAATATCTCACCCATGATGCTCAATAAATATCTAAGGGTATCGACCATGCATATGTTGTTTCCCAATAAAATTTAAAGAGAGGCAAAATATTTCAAACAAATAAAAACATTATAAGGAATTGATCCCACGCATGCTTTCTAGCTAATTCACCAAAACGCGGGCCTTTAAGTAACTGTTCTCTAAATCTATGTGTTCCTCCTTGTGTTAAGAATAAGAGCATTTGGCACATCTATTAGGTGTTAAATTTGCATTTTTAAAACGAACATGATTATTGTGTTCGAAATTCGACACTGTTTGATTCTTGTCCTAATTCAAGTGAAGGGGACATGTGGGACAGTACTTTAGATTACAGAATCTTGAGGAAAAAAGAAATTAGTATTTAATCTCTGCACGATCGGATTTCTATAATATTAATAAGTGCAATAGGATTTTTATTATATATGCATATGATTTAATTAGTGGGGTTCTAGTCAATTGTGTTTTTTCTGGTTGCAATTTGCAATGAGTTTGGAAGTGCTGGGCTGTGACAATGCAAAAGTGGAGGTAGAAGTAACGAAGAACTAGACAAAGGTTGATCATATATACACCTCCATTTTTTTATACATACACCTCCTTTTAAAAAAATATTAAATTCCTAAATTATTCTTAATATTATTTGGAATAAAAAAAATTTATCACCTCCTTTTTTCTATAAGTACACCTCCTTTTCAAAAAAAAATAATTAAAATTTTAAAATATTCTTAATTTTTTACTTTTTTTTTTAATTTTACATTTACAACATTTAATTTTTTTTTTGGTAAAGTAGGAAAACTAAACAAAGCACACAACACCCTACACAAAATAGCATCCTCGTTAGTGTATAGGTTTACTTGTGTGACATACAGATCGATGTGCTCGTCTAGGTCAGCAATGCCATCATAACGGTCGATGTTGAAAGTATACCAGGCGAGTGCTTCTCCTTTGAGTGAGGTCGAAAACACCCGGATGGCGGCGGATGCTCTATTTTTTCAATTTTTTTACTTCTCTTTTCTCTACTTCCTTTTTATCAAACAAATCCTTATATATTTAATAAATAGGAAAGAAATAAAAAATTGTAAAAAATTTGATAAAAAAATAAAATAGGAATAAAGATATTCAGCAAAAAAAAAATAGAATAGAAGTTTAATTTTTTATAAATAATTTTATTTGAAAAAAATAAGTAAAAACTATTATTATTATTATTGAAAGTTTATTTTTTTATAAGTAATTTTATTTATAAATAAGAAATAATTTATTATTATATTATTGGAAGTTATTATTAAATATAAATTTTCATTTAAAATATCAAATAAAATTTATTTATTTATTATTATTATTATCATTAAGAATTAGATTGTTTATTATTGTTATTTTTAAAATAATATATATATATACTTTTCCTTATTTTCCTTTAATGTTTCTTTATCAAACGTGTATTATCCGTATCGCGAAACCGAGCTTGAGCTTGGCATCACAGCGCGGAATGACATCGGACACGTGCTACACAACATCGGCCAAGACAAAGCTCACTATCTAAACAGGTCACAATCGACCTCAAGCCCAAGGCCTAGATAAACCCTAATTCATACTAAGGTACGTGCATTACTTATACGAGACCCGTACATCCACAAACACTAACTTTAGCATTGGAGTCTCTTTTGCAGGTACCACCCCCACTTTGGAACAGCGAACGTACCCAGCGAAGGAGGCTCACCAATCTTGCCCAGCAGATCGCCCTTACGATCGATCTCCGGTAAGAACATTTGGCGCCCACCGTGGGGCCGATCAAGACATCTCTTATCGACCATGCTTATGGTTTTCACCCGAAGCCATAGTAGACGAGCAACAAACGACCTAGATCGAGGAGACTGATCGAGCAGGTCGAACAAATGCAGCAACAACACGCTGTCGACCTAGAGAACATTCGTGCTAGGCACGAATCTGACCTAGCAGCACTGGGCATTGAGAATGAGCGCATTCGCACCTAGCTTCCTCGGCGCCCTTCGGATCAACCCCCTCAACTGAGTAATCAAAACGAGGAAGAGGGGCACTCGGTTTCCCAGCCACCGACTCATAAGTCTACTATACATCAATCACACGCGCTGACGAATAG